ATATAAAAAAGTGAACACATGCTATATGCAATCGTCAGGCCTGACGATTGCATATAATATGAAACAGACTGTCGCCTCTAAGTGTTGACTTCTATGTTCACTTTTATATTTACACACGGTCTATCTCTGATATCGAGCTCTTTATCCCATAAATATAGCACACCTTAAGACTATATTTCTTCATATATATATATATATATATATATATATATATATATATATATATAAAAAGTCAACACCCAAAGGTGACAGTCTGTTTCATGCTAAATGCAATCGTCAGGCCATAACAATTGCGTTTAGCTTGAAACAGTTGATGGTGTTGACTTCAATGTATACCTTTTACATTTGCATAGGCTATATCCTTGATACTGAGTAATTTAACCCATAAATATAGCATACCTTAAAACTATATTTATCATATATACATATACTCACACAAAGAGAGATACTAATTAATTCATTGTGCCCGCAAATTTATCCATGATATACAGCTTTACTGAATTCAGAAGATTAAAAATTGTTTACTGAACCTGAAGTGATTTCGAACCCGTTACTCTGAATTATACAACACGGTGATTTATCATGTAAGCAACTAACCGAGCGTCCTCGCTGCTGCGAGTAAGCCAGCGTTAACTGGTCCGCTGTGATTTAGTGCTGCTTGACAGGTTTAGGCGGCAAATTCTCCCGCCTTCTTTTGACTTTTCAATGGCGTTTGCCTTTAGCTCTCTCATTTGTTTCGCTTGTTGATTCTCTGCGCTAACGGAAGAAAAATGGGTCCCTTTGTCTAATGTTCGGTCGTGTCTCGGACTTTTAACCTTGAAGCTCAGCACCCAATCAAGCTTAAAAAAGAACATGGGACTAAGTCATGAGTTATGTACAGGCCATAGGAAAAACAAATTCTGATGTCAGATAACTTTTATGCCTTCAGATATTTAATGCGATTTCTCGGTTGCGGAGTGATGTGCGTGCGGCCTACAGGCATTTTTTAAAGTAAAATCGTTTTAAATAAAAAAAAAAAAGAATGCTGTTTTGAGCGAAAAAATGTAAACAAAGACGCAAGTAGAGATTTATACTTACATATATAGACTTAAAAAAAAATACGTAAATTAACGGAGAAGTTACTCTCACATATGTAGTAGCCACATATCCGATTATTAAATAAATTCCACCTCGCTTTTATTTCAACTCCTAACGTATTTATTTTCGTTGAAACTTCCTAGAAAACAAATTCAGTTCTAAGAAAATAATCAGGCATACGACAATATCATGTTGAAATACCAGTTCTCGTCCTATCATCGAAATTAATCTACATCGAGCCTAATCAATACTTAGATTGATGACCGCTTAGGAATACATGGTGCTGTAAGTTTGGATGTGAGGATGTTGTAATAGTTAACGCCTCGGAATTGGAAATCGGAAAGTCGAGTTCCAATTCTACTAGGGTTCCTTATATTTACATGCATTCAAATACCTTTAAGAAAGTTATGAAGCCACCTCTTTTTTTTCTCCAGTTATGGGTTAATTGGTCGGATTTCTATCAGTAAATTACTACCTCAAATTATCATCTCAAAAGAATTCTATCAAACTAATTATTTTTTTTGGTTATAAATAATCTGAAAATGGTTGATAAACCGTAAAAAACAAGTCAACCAATTAATCAATAAGAAAATTATCAATTACGATGGCGAAACTGATTTGATAACGGATTTTAAAATTTCATTCAAATTATAATACATTAAAATCTAAAAATTTATTCGAATCATTAAATTTTAATCAATTCACCCCAAGCAAGGCATTAATTCCACTAAGAAGCAAGGATCTTCTGAAAGTGAAAGAGAATGAAAATACTTTTGAAGGAATCCGAAAACCCAATCCTGAACATGAAACACGGAATAGACATGTTAGCCCTGTTCAAAAGGGAGAACTGTGAACCGGAATTTCATTTGTGTAACGTGCCGTCATTCCTCGTTATTTTTAAATTATTTAAAAGATATGACCGAAAAAAAGAACATTTGGAGGGCTTGACGAGCGGAAAATTTCGGCATTATTTGTGCTTTTTTTCGCCATCACTACGTAGTTATATATAACAACTCACGGCAAACCGTGAAGAAAAGAATATCAAATGAAAGCCGTTAGAAAAATGCTTTGTAAGTTTCATATTTTCCAACACCCTGCTTATTTCAAAACCCTTATTAGATTTTTTAAAATCATTTCTAAACACGATGTTACAAATGTATATATATATATATATATATATGTGTGTGTGTGTGTGTGTGTGTGTGTGTGTGTGTGTGTGTGTGTGTGTGTGTGTGTGTGTGTGTGTGTGTGTGAAAACATATAGAAAAACACGTAAATTTCAGAAATAAGTTATTCCAAAAAAATTTCGCTTGAAGATGGAACAGAGCTTACTTTAATTCAATTTAATCCAAATAATTATATTGAAGTTTTCGGCTCTTGTTTTGAAACATGAGACCTCTTATGTCGCGAGTTGGAATCATATTTTTAAATAAATAATTTTATATATATATATATATATATATATATATATATATATATATATATATATATATACAAATAGTTCTAATGATTTGTGTAAAATACGATTTTTGATTTCATCTAACATGAAATAACCTCTGCTTTTTTTTTAATAATTTTTGAAAGTTTCGTTAAAATAATTTCCAATTTTCGAACAAAGGAGATGGATTCATTGACTTTTTTACGGCTTATAAACCTTTTACAGTTTATTTAAAGTCAGAAAATATGTTTAGATTATAAGATTGTTTTGAAATTAATAATAATTAAAGTTCTACTAATTAACCCATAGCTTGGGAGTGAAGAGGTTGATTCACACATATAAAGTTATTTGCGCGTAAGTGAATATAAAGAACTTGAATTCGAAATCGTCTCTCTGATTTCCAATTCCCTGCCGTTATCCATTACACTAATTCTGAAGCAAAGACCTGTAGCATTCTAATGATTTTCGTGGGGTCATATTGATTAGTTCAAATTCAGGATCAACTTGTATACAACACTGTGTCGATCAAAAACCTTTCCTGAATAACCTCTGGGAGTATATTGAGAGGTCGCTCAATTTACAATCGTCTAATTTAGAAGTATTCAAAGATACGCACTAAAATGTTCGTAAATTCAAATTTTGATCACGAATCGTAGTTGATGCTGTAGTCTCCCTATGGTATCACAGTGCTATTCATAGTTATCTGATGCTTTCACAAATAGCGTATACTCGTGTATAAACTGATTTCATGTACAGTGCGACCACTGAATTTTTTACATGAATTTTAATGCCTCCCGTATAAAATTAGCTATGCAACCGGTCAATGAAAATGCTTGAATTTTATTCTCTTCAAAATAAGTTACCTGTGTATAGTGCTACCCTTAAATTTTGCGTAAAAAAAAATACAAAAAAACTGATCACAAAAGATCGCACTATATTCAGTATATATATATATATATATATATATATATATATATATATATATATATATATATATATATATATATATATATTATATATATATACGGTTTCAAAGCTCTGAGTCTGTCTACTTTTAAAAGGGTCACTCTTGCTTGTAACAATTTACTTAAATATTTCCTACTGCTTTTTAGTGATCTTGTCAAATTTTTACAACAGTATGATTAACATCTGTAATTTCTATTAGAAATTAAATTTTAATGTCGCTTACCTTTTTCGTAAGCGATGGAAATATAAATTGTTCAAAATGGGCGGCAAAAACATCAAAAGGAGTAAGATTAAAGTAAAAAATATATTTTGTTGGTTAGAAGAAACCAAAGAGAAAAAAATATGTAAATATTTATAATATTTTGTAAATCATCCGAAAATTTAAAAATAACTTTTGCGCAAACAAATATATGCTTAGTTTAAAGCAAACGAGACAATGTTAGAAATAAAACAAACCAGTATCACCATAAATACATTTATTATTACATACTTCAGTATTTTCTGTTTCTTGATACTTTGCTTATTTTCCTTGACTATCCCAATACTGAACTGTTACTGTTATATCTCCTTGGTGTGTTAAATTCTCTTTCCTCTTTATGTTCTCCAGAAATTGCAATATCTCTTTTTGACTACAGTTCTTATTTTCCTATTGTTATAAAATAAAATAAGACATATCTCGGCTGATTTGCAGGCAAATAGACTAACATACTCAAGAGCGAGAGCCGGATGGGAACGGGACAAGGCCCCGTCACAAAATGACGATTATCGTCGCTTACGTATAGCCCCGACGCACGAGTTCCGGTCGAAAAATAAAATATTTTAAAGTGTTTCTATTTTTCGACCAATAAAAATGCTTCCCTCCTAATTATACTCGCGTCGTTTTTCGAGCCTCTTAAGCCATAAAAAACGCCATAAAAGGGGTCACAGGGTGAAGTACAACAGCAGTCAACAGGAGGCCAGGGAAGAGATCTGTCACGGTCAGGCTGAGCGGTCGGCAGCAGTCAGCAGGAGGAGTTCCACGCCAACCAGTGAGAACTACTATGAGAGATCAACCCAGATCAGCAGCCGACTTACGAACTATACCAAAAGGTAGCTGTCCCAAACCCACACGTTCCTGTTGAAATAAATCACGTAAATCTATTTCTGCTGTTGTCGTATTTCTTTCTTGCAACCATACGCTTATCTATAACACTGTTTTCTTGAAGACCTCCATGTTCAGTCTACGGCATTCGCAGCATTTGTGTGTAGAATCCTATCTTTGTTACTTCAAATGTCCTTTTCATCCTGTGAGGAAATTCACTGACATAAAAGTACAGAAATGGCATTTATATTTCTAAATAATATCATTGTCCCAGACCAATGAGAGCTTAGTAAATACCCATAATGAACTGATCTAAATAACATGAAAATGTACGAATATATTCCAACCAGGACAGCGAGCAGTGAAACAGCTCCAACCACCTCTAATGGTAGCTAAGACTACTATATTTTATTTGCTACACTGACTAGTCTCTAATTTTTAGCAACACCCTGAGGTGAATATCGAAAAAGAGATCACAGTCAGAAGAAAGAAGCGATGACGTTCCTCGAGTGATTTTGATCTCCTGATATTCAATAGCTTAGAACTTTTACACTTTGATTTCTTTTTTATTACTTATGTAGCAAACCTATGGATGTGCGGGTGGCTAACGACGCGGAAATGGAACTGGCAAGAAGAGTTCAAAATCCACCTAGGACAGTTTGTGTTCATCTCGCACATATATCTTTGAGAAAAACATAAATTTATCGGCATTTAATGTAGGTTGCCGTTTCATTCTGCGGTAGACTGACAAACAAGCCTTTTAAAAAGCACGCTATCTTGGGTATTCTATAAAAGGTGCGATCAACTATCGTTTCTTGCTGCTGTAACCCAGTACAACCTGTTACTTAGGACGAGAGATGCTATTAAAGGGAAATTATTAGTAATAGCACATGGAAAAACAGAAAATAATGGGTCACGTTTTTAGACTTTAGAAAATTTTAGATTAATTTTGTTTGTTAATTAATTGTAGGATTTTTAATTAAAAATCATATTATAATGAACTAACAAAATTATTAATATCAGATTCAAACTAAAATTATTACGAAACATTATTACGAAAACCAAATGTATACTATCGCTTCGTCTTTTCCCGGCGTGATACAAATGGATTTTGTGTTTTTCACAAACACAAGAGTCTTCCATCTGTACGTCTTCATGTTATTCTGATCAGTTCATTATCAGTATTTACAAAGCTCCGATTATTCTGGAAGAATGATATCTGTATCGGTCACCTCGTGAGATGATCTGCGTGATGCCATTTCTAATGCCGTCATCAATAGTGTACGCTAAGAAAATGTAAATTAACCATGATCGCTTTCCAGTGAACACGAAATTAGTTTCAGTCCGGGCAACTCCAGCTAACCATGCTAGTAAAAATTTCATTTGTGTGAACGTATATATATATATATATACCTAAAAAGACACAGAAAGAAAGAAAGAAAGAAAGAAAGAAAGAAAGAAAGAAAGAAAGAAAGAAAGAAAGAAAGAAAGAAAGAAAGAAAAGAAAGAAAAGAAATAAAAAAATAAAGAAAGAAAAAAAAAAGAAAAAAGAAAAAAGAAAAGAAAAGAAAAAGAAAGAAAGAAAGAAAGAAAAAAGAAAGAAAGAAAAAAAGAAAAAAGAAAGAAAGAAAGAAAGTGAAAGAGTGGGGAGTGAGTGACTCACTCTTGCGCGCCATCCTATGCACGTGTGTAATACTGTTTGCGTGTTTAGTAAAACAGTTACAACTGATTATTTATTTGCGGCCCACAGGGAAGTAAATTTACGATTTGCTCCTAAATAAATATTTTTGTGTGGCTCCTAGCAAATAACCATAAATTTACAAACTCGGGCGTCTCGATTGTGAAAACGAGCATTTCAGACTGAATCCAGAATAGGAAAGAAGAACCCAAGGGCAGTAGGGGGAAAAAAAAAAAAAGAAATGAAAAGAAGCTTACCATGAAAAATATCGAATATCATAGATTATTGTCCAAATAATAAGCTGAACCTCGTTCAAATTTTCCAGATGTCCGAATGAAGTAAAAGAAAAACAACCGTAGTTGGGCAAACATAAACCTTTGAAGAAAATTGTAATATCAACTCGGAATGTTCTTTCATCATTTAGAAGTGTTAAATAGTTAGAAACAAGCTATAAAGCATTTTTACGTGTAGTTATATTTTACGTTTAATCTACTGGTTAGCAGATGTTAGTCTAAACATTCATCTTATTGTGTTGATGGTACTTGATACTGAAAAGCCGTCCCGAGAAAAGAAAAATATGAAACCAGACTTATGGTACCTAATGAGAGTTGAAATCACTCGGTCAGTTAAGTACCCTACGTGATACACGCGTTTGATTCATGACTGTCTTGACAGAAGATTTCCCCGCAGTAGGTTGCCGTTTCTTTCTACGGTAGACTGGTTGTCAACCAAAGCTATAGGACCCACTATATCCTGATATTTAACACATAGCTGGAGGGAGAAATGATGGATTGATATTTTTCCCAAATCTATTTGCGCGTGAGTAACGAACAAGACTGGAATTTGAATTTGGTTTTCCAGTTTCTCATGCCGAGCCGTTGTCACCAGACTGCACATCCCTAGTAAAACGAATTAGTATGTGGGATAAATTTGTTAACTTTTAGGTCGCAGGAAGTGCTCATGAGGACTAAGCAATGATCATATATACTTCTTTAACTGGGTGCCTCGAGGTGGTTTAATGGTTAGCAAGCTTGTCTTGCGAGAACAATTACGACTGAGTAGTGAGTTCGATTCTTACTGTGTGACCCCTTACTTTCGGCCTTGTGCCAAATCCCAAACTACGCTTGGAAAATCCCTATACACTTCTATAACTTGACCTCGTGTAAGCTAGCCGTTTAACTACTTTTTATTTTTGTATTCGTTGAACTAGAATAGTGGTTCTTAAACATTTTAAGTCACGGATGCCTTTACAAACGTACCCTTTTAGTCACATACCCCTTGAGTCACTGAACCCGATAAAAATTAGCCCTTCTTAGACAGATAGACTAACAGATACTCACTGTCTGATTTGTTTTTCACAACTCTTGTACGTGAATTTCTCCATACCGGACCTTCATACACACTGCACATACATCACTTTTGAGCCAGTCATGCTTGAAAGAAATTGAGGTTAATTAATTAATACTCACCACTATACGAGAAGATATTCAAACCGTGCTAAATTGTTGAAAATAAGGATTATCACTTGCTCTTATAGAGTGGGGAAAATGGGGACTGGGCAGAGAATGATATCACACGTTTAAATGGAAAACATGGAACCAAAAGCAAATCAAGAGACACCGAGCAGTCGGTATTGTAAGTAGTGACTGGGTACGTTTTCTTTCAAGTAGTGGTAGGATACATTTTCTGTCATTACTTTTAATGGTAAACGATGTCATAAATTAAACGACCTTATCACATCCGATGACCAGAATCCAAAAACTGCCTGCTTCCTATATATATATACACATACATACAAACTTCTTATCCTCGGTGATCCTAACGCATCAGCCTTTTTTTTTTCTTTCATTCTAACTTGAAGAAGCCTAAAGCGACAGAGATCCTTTCACGAAACGCGTCGTTTATAGCTTTTCCACTTTCACACACACACACACACACACACATATATATATATATATATATATATATATATATATATATATAACCGAATCTCAAGTCTTTGCTCAGCAACCTGATCTGAAAGAGGCAAAATGATAAATGAAGGTTAGGAATATTATGTTGCACCATTGTTTCATGCAAGACGAGCCTTTTTCTATTCTGTGCAATGTTCCTCTATGGAATGGGAGATTAAGGGTCTCCACAACCTCTTGTCTCTTGCTACTCTAAATAATTTTTTACTCTTTACCATCCTCCCAGACTCTATTCGATCATCCATGTGTACAAGCTGGTTAAATTCACTTCATTCACTGTTTAAATACCCCTATCAGTTTCACTATGCCCTACGAGTGTTAAATTCACCTGACTTTTGTTCTTCATTATTTTTCCAAGAATTTTCAAATGTCTCTTTCTAATTGTATGTCTTCTTGTCGCCTTTAAGATATCCCCATTGCTGATATGTCTAGTCCATAGTATTCTCAGTATTCATCGATAGAATCACGTCTTTATCGCTTTAAATCACTTCTTCATCTGCATTTTCTGATATATAGGTTAGGCATTGAAGAAATAGGACAGATTTATTTATTTAGAGAATCAACATTGCACTTAGTGTGCAACCTGGAGTTTGAGGTGCTAATTAGTAACATCAAAAGTTAGATTCATGGCTTTTACCAAATTTTGAGCATTTAGTTTTAAATGTCATCTGAAAAATGTACAGAAATACAAGATTTCCGCAGGATTTTGCTTACAAACTGACCTCAAACTTTTACTATTTCAAGAATAAATCCAAATAAAGTTGATATCTTTTGTATTAGATTCATTGAATGGAAAATATATTCAAACCAGAATTATAATTATGAATCATCACTGACTAAATATGCAATTTGTTTATTCTATTCGATAAAAACAAAAATAGTGTAAAAAAATTGTAAAAGATTACAAAAAAGGCTACTCAATGAATAAGATTTGTTAGATCATTTGTTAAACCCTTTATTAGATCATTTTTAGATCATAATTAAGAAATTCAAAACAAAGATAAAAGTGTATATAACACCATAATACTCTTGGGCACAAATTATAATACAAAATGTTTTAAATTTACATTGTTTATTGAAAATCACAGTTAAACTACTGCACTTTATAACATATTACATCATAATATAGCTAAATAATTCAGTATAAATTCCCTTTGAAGTAAATGCTCTTATTTGATGGCGCAATCTTTTAGTAACAATGTGTTTGTGCCATGTATCTTATCTATAAACAATTTGTAAAAATTCAGTAAATTCTACATTTTATAAGTCCGTGCTATAAAACTTACACTGGTCATCGTCAATGAAATTCCGACGCTGCGCATTTGAACCTAAATCTAATATTTAAACTCATCTCCTAAAAAAAAAAAACAGTAACAGTTTAGAAAATATTTTGCGTCGTTATTTATCATGTCAAGCCCCAACTTTCAATCTTTTTTTAGTTTCTAACCTCATATTCCAATCTTGTAATACTTTGCTTTGTTGTTCAATTTTCTGAATTTTGTGTTATATTTTCCGTCGTCTCCTACTACACTACAAGAATGGTTAAATTTCAGTACTTGGTTGATTTTGAAGCTCAAATCTTGGGCTGTCTCTTTTGATGATAACATATTGATGCATCCTGTTTTCTTACAGTTAATAGTTAGTCCTTTCATCTTGCTTTCCTTTACTACCTTGTCTAAGAGTTCTTTAAGTTTCTCTTTCACAGTGCCATCTATGTATCTTATGTTATTATTATACCTGCTGATGAATACTAAGCACTATAAAGAAATCAAAACCAAATTTACAAATAACCTTTTTAAATCGCGATCTATCGAAATAAAGCGAACTAATACTTCTTTTCAAGTGTACAAACAAAAGTGCTAATATAATTAAGAACTGGATTTATGCACTTTCCTGCAATTTACAAAGGACAATCGTTTTTATTTTCTAATAGTTCATAGTGTTAACCCATTTTTCCGACATCAGTTGGATTATAGATAATTCCGTTAAAAGTATTGTCAGGTTGGGAAGACTTGATTACATCAACACGCTACTTCGGAAATTCCATTAAAACATGCAGTTCCGGACGTTCATATTGATTCTGCGAAGTTCTTTGATAAGCGTGTTTCTGCATAAACAAACAATGAGCCACTAAGTCTAAGGCTATCAACTGTTTTAACGGCAAATCATCAGTTTAAGAAATTCAAATAACCAAATATATGCAAAATAAAGTAATCAGGTATATAAAAATGAATTAAAACTATACAAAATATGAGGCACATACATACATGCACTCACACATGCATATAAAGCCAAATAGTAACAAAAATGGATAGATAAATATACAGATAGATAAGAACAGAGTTAGATATATATGAATAGAAACAGATAGATAGATAGATAGATAGATAGATAGATAGATAGATAGATAGATAGATAGATAGATATGAATAAACAGTTAGATATATATGAATAGAAACATAGATAGATAGATAGATAGATAGATAGATAGATATGAATAAACAGTTAGATATATATGAATAGAAACAGATAGATAGATAGATAGATAGATAGATAGATAGATAGATAGATATAAATAGAAAAGGATATAGATAGATAGATAGATAGATAGATAGATAGATAGATAGATAGATATGAATAGACAGAGTTAGATATATATGAACAGAGATAGATAGATAGATAGATAGATAGATAGATAGATAGATAGATAGATAGATAGATATGAATAGACAGAGTTAGATATATATGAACAGAAAGAGATAGATAGATAGATAGATAGATAGATAGATAGATAGATAGATAGATAGATAGATATTAACAGAGTAAGACTGATAAGAAAACATTTAGATTGTAACAGGCGCATATGTGCATGAATTGTAGTAGAAAAAGTCACGGAAAATTTACTTTAAAGTGTGAATGATTTTCATTTTAAGTTAATCTCTAAATCAAACATTTCATGTCGGATAGTGTAACAAATACAAGTAAATTGCACCAGTAAATTATGATTATGCTTTACACATGTATAGAAAAGATTAATTTCATTTTATGTTGTTCTTTGATAATGGTGTGTACATTATGCTCTGTGCTATTTTGATATGACCACTAGAACTGAGGGAGTTGGAGCTATAGTTGGGTTGTTGTAACCAAAGTCAAAAGCAATTTTGAGTGGAATGAGAATTAACAAAAGTAGCACTGCCTTTCGCTTTAAAAAAAAGAAGTTAAAATAATATAACGATCATATTTAAAAGTTGTTGCCTCTTCAATACGTAGGTGATCATGGCTACCCACAAATTCTTTTTCATAGTTATCTGGAATTTGCTATATCTTCTCGGGAAAGATAGTGGAGAAATTTCAACTGTCTCTTTTTGATTGCATGTCTCCTTGTAGTCCTTAAAATATCATCGTTTCTCATATGTCTAGTCCATAGTATCCTCAGTATTCATCGATAGAATCACGTATTTATCGCTTTAAATCATTTTTTCATCTGTATCCACCATTTTCTGCCATATAGGTTATATAACAGAAATAGGGCAGGTTGTTTTTTCACTTTTTTTTAGAAAATCAACATTGCAATCAATTTAAAAACCGGGGTTTGATGTGATATGTACTGATACCAAAAATAAGATATATAGCTTTTACCAAATTTTGAGCATTTGGTTTTAAAAATCATCTGAAAAAAATGTACAGAAATACAAGATTTCCGCAGGAATTTGCTTACAAACTGATTTCAAAAATTTACTATTTCAAGAATAAATCCAAATGAATTTGATATTTTTGTATTAGATACATTGAATGGAAAATATATTCAAACCTGAATTCTAATTATGAATCACCACTGGCAAAATAAGCAGTTTTTTTTACTGTCTTCTATAAGAAAAATTGTATAAAAAAATGTCATTTTATGTTGTTACTTGATAATGGTGTGTACATTATGCACTGTGCTATTTTGATATAATCACAAGAATTATGGCAGTTGGAGGTGTAGTTGGGTAGTTGAAACCAAAGTTAAAAGCAAATTTTAGTGGAAAGGAAATTAACAAAAAGGCACTGCTTTTCGCTTCAAAAAGAGACGTTGCAATATTATAACGATAATATTTAAATGTCGTTGCCTTTTCAAGAAGTAGGTGATCATGGCTCTACAAATTTCTTTTCATTGTTATCTGTGAATTGTCATGTCTTCTAAGTAAAGATCTGCAATGATACAATTGTAAGTGGTTATAAATTTATAAAAACACATAAAAGTGTTGGACGACGTAACGAATATAAAACGTAATGTTAATATTAGCCGTTTCTTTATAAGGAAACATTTGGCATTCATTGATCGAGCAGCCAGTACTAAAGTTGGTTGAAATTTATAAAATTTTTCCCTTAAAACAATTTTTCTGGAAAATAGATTTCTCAAGTCCAGTATCTGTTATCGCTCTTGCCAGTAATGATAGAGGCTTAGATGTTGAAAAATCCTCAAGTGATGTCGTTTCTGCTATTTGGTACAGTTCTTTATTTGTGATTCTATAGCGCCAGTCTACAAAGTTCAAAGAATTGTGGTCTTCGCCAAAACCTACAGGCTTCAATCACTCAAAGTAATTTTTAACCATTGATCTGAGAAAGCGGTTGTATACAGCTGAGAGTTTATATTTCTGAACAAGTCTGGCGGCATATATGGTATTTATATGCGATGTGGTATGAAATGATCAGCGCCCATCTTTTCACATGTATGCATGTACATACACAGAACATAGTCTAGAAACGGGTAAATAGACTGAGTCTCTTATTTCCTCATTGTACTTCAAATTAGTTTTGAAATGTTTCTGCATTTGGGTCCTCGCCAGATATGTAAGATTTTGACCGGTAGTTTTCTCCTATTAAATCGTTGTATTCAGTGAATTCGGAGCTTGGAAGGTGGTTTTTAATGAATGAGAAGAGGAAGCCTCTATTGATGCGGTCATATGCTGCTGTAAGGTCGACATAGCAGGTATACAATTTCCTATTAGAGAAGTAAGCAATTTCCTGGAGTTGTTTGATGACATATACGCCATCATTACATCCATTACCATAACGAAAAGCAAAACCAAACTAGAGTTTTAAAAATATATAAGAAATAAAAGAAATTCGAGATCTTGATGCAGAATAGTTGAATCTTCAACCAGATTATAAGAATTAAGTACAGACTCGAGGAATATTCAATGCTAGTGATGCACAAAAGAAAGTGGAAGGGACAGTAGCAAGAGAAGGAATTGAGCTATCCAATCAAATTTGTCAGAAGACAAATAGGGCTACAAGGATCTAGAATTACTAGAAGCAGATTCAATCAAATAGAATTAAAATTGGCCCAAGAGGAGTAAAAAAAAAATAGACATTATTGGATAGGAAAGGTGATCTATTGAGAACTGTACAAAAGAATATACTATGCAAAACAATAAGTTATCACGTCGAGATTTAAAAGCTGGGACTTTGAAATTCAAACAGAATCCCAAGACAAAGAGATAAGATTTAATCAATGAGGAACTAAGAAAATAAAATTTCTTAGATAGTCGTCGATATCAGCAGTATAAAAAGCTAAAAAAATATGCCGGATGAGTAGGAAAATGTGTAACATAGAAGTGACAGTAGTGCCGATTATTATTCGAACATTTGGAACAGTAACGAAAAGCCTTTCAAAGAAACTGAAAAAAAAATGACATCCAATGAAGAATCGGAACCAGCTGTAAAAAATTAGCCCAACAAATGGATAAAATAAGTTAACTTCACATATTTTTTAAATAAGTAAAACTGACACTAGAAAACTGAGTATACAAGGGCGCGCTAAAAATTCTCTGTTGGATCAAGAAGCTTTTCCAAAAACTATATTCTACTGACTGGGCAAGTAGTCAGATTTTGGAAAGGAAGTCAAACTGAGAAGTATTTCAGCACAGACTAATATAATATAATATATAATATATATAAAATATAATATATATAATATATAATGTATAATAGAATAATATAATAGAATAATATAATATAATATATAATATATATAAAATATAATATATATAATAGAATAGAATAATATAATAGAATAATATAATATATATAAATAAAGAGAATGTTTAAAAAGATGAACGAAACTGAGAAGTTGAAAATATAAGCCATTGAAATGCATATTTGCATTAAGAGCTTCATTATTGTGTTTGAAATCACAGTAAACAATTAATTCAAATTCTACATTATATCAGACTCGTTAAAGAATAATTAATATATATATATATATATATATATATATATATATATATATATATATATATATATATATATATAAACGTATATTGTTAAATATAACAGACAATGAATGTCTATTATGTTTGACATTGAGCCGTTCTAAACTGCGTATATTTGCTTTAATTTCGTGTGAAAATAAAGATAAAAATTGTCCAACATTTAGATATTTTTTTATTAAGCTGTTCCTTGATCTAAGCTTTCGGCTAACATCAGACATCTTCAGAGTGGTTATGCGGACATTTAAACAAAGATATTCACCATCATAGATGATATTCTGTTATGCTGTCATAGAAGATTGCTATGTTACGATAACGGTCGCGGAATAGTAGACGCAGCTCTTAAATTCATGATGAGGTTCTATGACGTCGTACCACGTGAGAGACTGAAATATTATCAACAGAATCATATGTCTAGATGCAAGGCAATGTGTTGGGACTAGTTTGAAATGTAACTTTGTTGAGAGTGGGTGATTTATATATATATATATATATATATATATCGTATTTAAAATATAAATATTAATATTTTCGACTCGAGTTATGTCAACATTATTTATTTTTCCCGGTTTTCCGCTCACTGGACTGCTATTTAAAGAGTTTGGAATATTCACACAAAACACACACACACACATATATATATATATGTGTGTGTGTGTGTGTGTGTGTGTGTGTGTGTGTGTGTGTGTTGTGTGTGTGTTTCCTCAATTCAAACGAAATTCATGCACAGGTACTGCTTGATTTCTTTTAACTTCTTGAAGACATACGAAAACTTAAAGACTACTAGCAATAAGGACTCTGAAACACATCATGCGAATTCATTCCTTACACGTTATGCGGCATTTATGTAGTAGCTACTGCAAAAGACACTCAGCGTTGCCACATCTGTGAAAGACAATGTAAAACCATAGCAGGACTAAAAGGCTACATTCTCGTTAGCCGTACTTGAGTATGGATCAAGTTATGGCATTTCATATGTTATATGAAATTGAATCGCAGCTATTGTATATGTATTCATGCATATGAAAAGCATGAGACAGGACGTATAAAAAAGGATCACACCACAGTAAATATTATTCTATTTTAACACAGAAACTGAAAATTGCAGCCAATGACCGCGGCACTAATAGACATAGTAATAGATGGTTCTCCGATGTTTTTGACTAGGCTGGTTGTAGATTTGAACCTTGGAAGGACGACGATGTAGTGTAATGGTTAGAAACCCTGTCTGGTTCTCTTGTGTAGTGACTTTGAACCTCACCCATATTTGACGAATTGTGCAAAAATAATCTAAGGTTATATATATATATATATAAGTCATGTCTCATTGTCCATGAATATGAAAGGATCCTATTAAAAATAAGTAAGCAAAACTTTTCTAAATTATTCAATGAGACAGGTTTTAATAAAAACTTGCTGTCTAAATATATATATATATATATATATATATATATATATATATATATATATATATATATATATATATATATATATATATATATATTCAGTATTCATACAAACAAGTAATTAAAAAGAACCGACAAGGTCTGTCTGTTTAATATTTTATTGTATTTTCAATTTTCGAATACGTTGTTGAGTATTGTGCTCG